CAGGAGTGGCTGGAAATGAGATCGTTCATGTTCCAGGAGTGGCTGGAAATGAGATTGCTCATGTTCTAGGAGTGGCTAGAAATGAGATAGTACATGTCCCAGGAGTGGCTGGAAATGTAAGCTCTATGCGCGTTAGAACATGTCTATTTCCTAGGGAGAGTTTGGAAAAGAGATTTTATGTGAGTTAGAATTGACTTTTCCAGGGACTCTGTGAGACACCCTGGTGATTGGGTTGTTTCGGATGACCACGAGAGGTGATTTCAGTCGACAGGTGCCTAAGATGCACATTATAGAGTGATTACCCCAGGGGATAGTGGGTCTCCTGGGTATACTTGAGGGGACAGTGAGGTTCTCTCCGGGGGAAAGTGTTCCCTTGCATATACTTTGAGTGGGCCGAAGCCTCTCCAGGGGATGTGTGATTCCTCTGCAGCCGAGCTCAACGAACTGTGTGTCCTGAGAGTGAGAGGGGCTGGAGCATACCGAGAGCTGGATGGACGGCGGTCCTGAAGGTGGAGGGGTATGATATACTTCGGGAGCTCAAAGGGTGACGATCCTGAGAGCAGAGTGTTGTATATAGATATGAGTATAAGCAATAGTATCTGTAATGTGGTTGTAAGCATGAGACTGGATGAACTTCGGGGATCGGGAGTGGATCCCAGGTGGTGCTGACCGGGTTGGGTCGGGATTGCAGCCGTGGTGAGATGGTGCAATAGGGCTAGTATGAGCGTGGGTAGAGCTCGGAGATCAGGTGTGATCTCGAGTGGTGCTGACCGAGGGCCAGGAGAGTGGATGTGGATGTCGAGTCTAAGATTTTTGCTGACGTTTAGAACTTCGTTCGGACAACCTGGTAGCATATGTAGCGCCGTTGGTCGTACATGTTCTTGTTTGATTGTTGTGCGATCATTTGGTCCATTTGGGGTCAACGGTTGGTCATGCATGTTCTTTTTTTATTATTGGGCGATCAATCCGGCAGCCCTAATCCGGACCAGGGACGTTGCATCGTTGATGTTCCCGGGAGAATCTGGTCGAGTTTTAGGCGGGGGTTTTAACCTTAGTGAGACAGAGTCGCGT